AATAAAAAGTGGGGGGGGGGGATAAAAGGAAAATAATTACAGTCAACCGTAGGCCATATTCCAGGGGTTTTCGACTTGAACATTCCCAGGATGGTTGGGAAAGACAAACTGGCGTATTTCAGCACGATTTCCTCCCTGTCTTCCGGATATGCAGAAGCGATTGTCGCGTTCTCCGCATCGCAAAGACGAATGCTCTCTAGGATGGATTGAGGATCATTGTAGGCCTTGTACAATTTGCCATCCTTTTCAATTTTGTAACCCGTGGCTGACAGCGCATCGTAATTGCCTAAAATATTGGGGTCGCATCGCAAAGACGAATGCTCTCTAGGATGGATTGAGGATCATTGTAGGCCTTGTACAATTTGCCATCCTTTTCAATTTTGTAACCCGTGGCTGACAGCGCATCGTAATTGCCTAAAATATTGGGGGGAAAAGCGGGAAATGATCGCTCAATGGTAGCCGGATCTGGGAAGGAGACTCCCATAATATAGAGATGGAAATTTCCCAGTGGTCAAATATTTCATAATCTTTCGTCGAATAATCATTTAGATATTTAATTTGGACTTTCTTCAGCGTTGCAGGATGTTTCATTATTGATTAAATGTAGCAGATCCTTTTGAAGACGCTTTCTAATGGGATATCCGCTGAAGATTTTTTTCGTAATTTCGCATCGAAAGAAGTAGTGCACAGAGTTGGTGCTGTAATTTCAAATGAAACATACTTTATTAGCTTTGGAGATTATTCAAGTATTGAATGCAATTTACTGTAGCAGATTCTTGGAAGGTGATATTTAATTTTGCCTTTATAGTAATGTACTTATTTACTTAATCATCTGCTATTTTTTCAAATTTTATAAAAACATATCCGAGTATCATTTTGGAAATTTCCTTTGAAGAATGAACTTTTAGTAAGGATTCATCCCAGGAGTTTATTTCTTTAAAAAAATACAGGTAGTAGAATCTCGTTACAACGAATCTCGTTTTATCGAATAATCCCTTGCAATGAAGTCGTTTTTCACGTCTCTGCCCGATATAGTCACGATAGTCACAATTTTAAATGAATTGCTGTACAACGAATTTTTTTGAAACGAAAACTTTTACAGGTCACAATGGCTTCGTTGTAACAAGATTTTACTGTATAAGAAACTGAAAAAAAATGCTCTCACCAATGAAAACCTCTTCACTGGTGTCACTGCTCCAAGCCGGGTCACCAAAAGATATCTTACATTCGTACTGACGACTATTTGGTACCTCTGCGATGCTGAATCCGTAGCAAAGCGTCCATTGTTTACACTCCATGGCGCATTGAACCATGCTAGGGACCATTTTAATCACGACCGGGCTGGTTATCTTCCCATTAGCAACGAAATTGTAAGACGTGCTGCTGCTCGTCGCAGAGATTTGTTTTGCCAGCAGATGAATGAGTAAAACTACAATAATCCCCGGGTCGTGCTGCGATTCGAAACTTTTAATGAAACGACCCATCATGATTTTCGGGATAAAATAATTTTGTATCAGTGTATTATTGTAGTCTGTTTCGCTGAACGTTTCCAAGTGGCGAATGTCACTTTCTGCGACCGCGTTTTTTAGCAAGGGCTTTGTTCCAGATCTTCAGATGCAGTATATATTGAACGTGCAGTCCTTTTGTTCGTGATCCAGTGAGGTTCTTAGCATCGACGATACACATCGATCACCAGAATAAAGAAAGTAAGTCATATTTGTTGCCATGTGCGAAGCAAATGTCAATCCCAAGAGGTTTCCGTGCATTGGCAGTGTTGCCTTCCCGAAAAAGGGGGGGGAATGGGGAAAATATCTACATAAAAAATATTGCCCAAAAAAGGAACCCATATCTCCTCTTAAGTTTTTTTTTTTTTTTTTTTTTTTGGAGGACAAATTTATGTAGCTAATTAATTCGACCTTTTTTCCTCCTTCAGTTTCCTCTTTATAGTATCCGTGAATTTTGACCTTCTCATAATTATGAAATCGATCGTGCAAAGTTTTGTGTTTGTGACTATATATAGTACATTACAGTATATTGGGAAAAAATGGTGTAACGAGTATCAATGAGTCTTTTATCGCATAAATTTGTACCCGGATTTGTAATGCAATATTCCGTCATCAGCGAGAATTTCTTAATTACTCTTTAAAAGTAATACTGTATGTTTAACCGTGGAAAAAATAGGTTTCTCATTATTTGTGTTCCTACAGAAAGTGTGTTGATTTTGTGCATGCTCGTCGAAATGCGTTCTCCTTCACTTATTCCTAAGCACGCGAATTATTCTTGTTGGGCTTATCATTGTTTGTTTGCCTAGAAAGACTTTATCGCGTCTTGATATACGGGGAAAGAACGAATCTGCAAACGGCATGGAATACTGAAAGTCAGGCTAAGTGATCGATAGCTGTTCTTGTTTTCCAACTATACTTACTTCTCTAAATATTAGTGAATTGTTGGCGGGTCCTTCTCTTATTGCGTGTGCAGCCAATGCATGAAAGGTCGTTATATGTGCAGAAAATGATCCAGTAGATTTCCGCAGAATAACAAAGAATGTAACGAAAGAGAGGTTAAGCCTTCACGCTAAATCGCATTCGTCGAATATCCGTAAAAATGTCATAATTTATCAACACGTACACGATTATGCATCCGCTGGCTAGTTGAACAAAAGGCATTCATTCACCCATGTCGACAGGATTTATTTAATTATTTTCTCTACAAAATTCACCGATCAGCACCCACAAACCACCACAGATCAAACGGTAATTCGTTCAATATAAATTTAATCAAGTTTGTTATAGTATTATTTTCTAGAGTAAAATGCTGATTTGTATAATATTGAAATCAATAGCCCGGCCGGTATATATATAGAGACACATACCAGCGCATGTTGTAACTCTGTAACACATTTTGAAATCCCGAAAATGTATCGTGGAACAGTCTTTTACACGTGCTATAGCAGATATTTCATTAAAAAAGAAAGGTGACATGAAAAAAGAAGGGTTCTTAATAATTATATGCGTATATAGCTCTGCACACGTGCGTTACCACGCGTGTTCTTTGCCAGAACTTTTTAAACGTTCAATTTTGTTTTAAGTTATCCCTGCTGGTAAATCCCGAAGTAACAGTAGTCTGATTTTCGCACATGCCATGGCACGCATAATACCTGATGAAAAAACTGTGCGATGCACGGGGTTATTATTAATCGCTGGCCGAACATTATTCCGAAAATTGTAATCTGATCAGGATTTCTTGCGTTCCAATACCAAAACATTTCAATTCTTCCTGAAATCGCAAACGAAAAACCGTGTAAATATACTCTGGTCAAGGTTTTCTCTTTTTATAAGGGGATAAAGTGTTGAAAAAAACAAGACAGATGTTTTTAAAATACTTCGATATGATATTAAATGTAATCGCTTTTCTTTTCAACATACCCATATGGCTTGAGAACCGCAACTTGAAATGTCATCAATCTTATACAGCCCGCGATTTAGCAAACGAAGTCTGCCAAAAAGTCATCAAATTATCAAGAAGGTATTTTTCACTGCAACGACGGCTTTAATCTTTTTTTTTTTTGTCAAATGGACAAATATGCTCTGTGGTATTTTAAGATTCAACTAACAGCAACCCGAAAGATAATTTTTAGCGCAGAAAATACTGATACACTGCGCAAAGTATTTCTCAGCAGTTTTAAGAGGTAAAGTCATCCGAGACTAATTCCAGCTTTTTGCAGTAGCCAAAAAAAAAACTTCATTAAATCACGCTACGACCAACAGATCTAGAAATTCTCGCATTAAATTTAATAAGGAGTGGCCACCCAGCCACCGAAGGACAAACGAAAGTTTGTCCTTGAGAAACCCCAAAAGTCTTCATATATGAGAGGACAAATATGCAGGCTGCATCTGAAGTTCGTGGCTCATAAATTAAAATTAAGCCCAGTACTGTATGCAGAATTTCGGGTACCATTAAATACTGAAGTTCAGCCCCTTTTGTGCGCCACCATCAGCAGCAGGGACGCTAACAGAATAAGCAAAAAGATGGATGATATAATATGTAACCCACTACAACTTGTGGCAGAAAGGGCACAGGCTTTTTTTTAATTAAAAGTAAATTCGTTTCAAATCATTTCATCCGTTTGTCTTACGTATAGCGGTTCTTCATTCGTCAATCATTATTCTTCATATTCTAACCGTTCGGCATGCATGCAGATGATAATACTGCATATGAGATCGAACAGAATATAACATTTGTGTAAGCACGGGAACAATTGCCTCCTCAGAGGATACATCACGCTGTTGGTGAATGCCTTCAATGATATAAAATATAGCAGTTTGTCTCTTGATGGGCTTTCATAATATTCTCAATGCCGTATACACTAAATCTTTATTATTGTTACCACGAAAAAAATCCAATAAATTCTTATTAACAACAGACTTTTTTCTCTGCACTTTACTATATACACACAACAGCAATATATTATTCATACATTATTGTTGCATGAATTTATTTGGTGAAAACAAAAGTTTTCTTCACAGTTGCACCAAGATTTTCTGAATATATATGCAGCATACTTTTACTGCAAAACAAATCTTTTCAGAGCAAATCTTGTTCAAATGAATCATCACTTGAAGCCGTTTTTAAGACCATTCCCAATAGCCACAAATCCACAGTACTGTTCAGTGAGTTACTGGATAACAAATTTTTCTTTATAATGAAGCTATTCTATTAGCCCCAACGGCTTTTTTATAACGAGATTTTTCCGTATATATCTACCAATTGAGTAATCAGTGTTCATCATTACTGTACAGTATATCAAAGTTTGAATAATAAATGTATGTTATTCGTTAACTTACAGTCGTACACCTAAAACAAGACTCTCTGCAAGCTCGTTTGTGCACGCACATTATTAATCCTGCTCACTTTTATTGTGAAAATTTTCGGAGGAACTTGGCATGAAACCCAACTGAATTACAGTACATTATTCTACTCTTCATACGTAAACCCAGCAATTTATAATCAAAACCTTTCCACTGTATTTCGCTAGATTGGATATTTTTCCCAATAGGGTAACACCGAGCCAATGACATCAACATTCACGTCCGGGAAAACGGAATGAAACCTTGGAGATCTTGGATTACCGCTCACAAACCTTCAAGCACAAACATCGAATGGGAAACTCAAGTCGCAATGGCGAGGGAAAAAAACAAAAAAACAATCAGCGGCCACGCGCGAGATCAAACGTTACTTCAACACAATCCCAAAGCCAATTCGAACAGCGCGACCTAGTCAATACCATTCCGGAGACACTTTCTTCTCCGAAAAAAAAAAATCATCACATAAGATTTTCGTGAGCGTAAAGAAAAAGCCGGCAAAAACTCGAAAAATTGACATCGAGGCAAAGATCTATACTCAAATTCTAAATGGAGGCATGACTTTCATTCCAAACGGATCTAGTCGCGTGAGTCCCCGCCGGCGACACCTAGCAACAACGGCAGAAGCCTCCAACGACGCAGAGCGACGCCTGGTGCGAACCGGAGACGGTGATCGGGACCTAGAAGATCTTGATGAAGCTCTGGATGATCGACGGTAAATCACCGGTAGTTTGCGTGCGCTAAAACCGTTCAAATTTCCGAAATTTAATTTTTGCGAAAGAAAAACAACATCCTCGGCAAATAACAATAAAATCAACAATAATCACCATCGGAAAACAGAATAAAAAATAACTTGGCCGACCGAGAACCTGGAAATAAAACTTCAACACTACCGAATTTTCGAATAATGTCAACAACAACAAAAACCTCAAAAAATAACGTGCCACAAGACATTACCGAACCAAATCGAGTACAAGAGTCGCCGAACAGCTTCCTGTAACGTCCGTTTCTTTCGGCTAAAATAGTGAACCAAATTTTCAATGAAAAAGGTGTGTTTCATGCAGGAATGAACTAAAAATGCTTAAAAGACGAAAACCCCCAACCTAGTTATCCTTCGCGCCTCTCTAAATGAGGGCGAGCCTCGAAAAGATGACGCCGACGAAGAGCGAGACGAAGCAGAAGACACTGATCCAGATAACGACACGGATCGTGATAAAGTAGAATCGGAATCCGAATCCGACGACGAGTCGTACTTTCCTCTGCTTCTAAAATGAAAAAAATAAAAAATAAATATATATATATATACATAGAATCACAACCCGATTACGCCGATAGTCAACTTATGGTACTCTGAGTAATTTTCACAAGGGTAATTTTCGACGACAGGAACGAAATTCAGAACACAAGGGTTTTCCATCTCGAACAAACTTAAAAGTTTATCCCCGCGTTAGCCGACTGCAAACTTGCATTCGGAGATTATTTAATGAAACAAATACTGTACGTTCCGACATAAAAAAAAATGTATGTGCAGTCGAAGATAAACACAGTACATTACTGTAATTCAAAAGAAAGTCATTCACAATACTTATTCTCAATCCCGGAAAATGTCGATAAAAATGAAAAAAAAAAATGCCTACAGGGTCTTTCACAACGACAAGTGTCTTGAGTGCGGGTAGATATCAATACATTTCATACGCGTTTTTCAATGTGAACACCCTTTTTATTCAAATATTGTTTCACGGGTTCTTCCTCGAGGATAATGCTTGAGTATAAAACTAGGATACATTGTGTTTCCCATGAAATTTTTTTGCACGGATGAGGACTTGTTTCACGCAGCTGTACTGCGTCTGTGAATTGTGTTGATTACAATTTCCATCTCGAGATATCGTGAAGAGCAAGCCTCACTAGAAATTTAAAACGCATACGTCGACAGAGAATTTGATGAAACCCTCGGACTATCTAAACATTACTTACTTTCAGCGATAATTAACATAAAACAATTCACTTTTTAATTCAATTTTCCTTCAATAATCAATTGATCCTAATCATCGTTTATAGTATTACCTCAGTAACGAATCAAAGTTATGGTACAGTATCTTGAGTATCTTAGTTGGAAACAAAGTACATAAATTCCGGCGTGCAGAGCTTCAATCCTCACCTTCGTGAAGCTCGTGAAGACCTCTGGTAACCGCGAGGGGGAGTTCTTGAAATCGATCTTTTCACACTTTCGACGAGTACTGCAGAAGCCACAAGAAAAGGAATTAATTGAAGCAGCAAAGGGCGAAACAAAAATGTTAGTAACTCGAATCACACTCACTTTCTTCATCGGAGTCATCATTCCGTTCCGGAGTAGGTTGCCGAGTTTGACTTCTGATCCGCGCAAAATAAGATTCTGCGACTTGCTGAACAATCGCGGCGGTATCCGCCTTTTCGGAATCCGAATTTTCAACTCCACCAGTCAAATGATCGCCAGGCAAGGATGCTTTTTCGACACTAGGACTTCGAGAGCTTCTTTTGTTCTTTCCCGAAGTTTGAGGGCCTTCGAGGGCAACTTCTTTCCACAAATATTCCTCGGAATCTTCCGTAGGTTCATTCGAATCGCTCAAAGCCGAAGAACAACGGATGCAACCGTCCTGCACCACGTACTTTCTCCCCGTTTCCGGATAATTCAACCCAGGAAACAAAGCAGTATGGAATGCTATCGTGGAGGCGTCTGTCTGACACTTGTTGAACCGTTCGCAGTAAGTTTCCAGTGAGAACTCTTCGGAGGTTTGGCTTATGCGACGTTTCCTGGTCGTTCCAGACTCGTTCAAGGACTCCGGACTGAACGCTTTTCCGCGACATCGTTTGCAAGATGCGTTGGGGGAAGATCGTCGCTTTTCTACTATTCCGCCCGGGTTTTTTCCTTCTACTTCCGGCAATGAGGTCTTGGAATCCGTGTCCGAGTAGTCGGCCAGTTTAGGATATTCGCTGAGGGCTTCCTCTCGTTCGTTCGACGACCTGAAGTTATTCCCATAGTACGTAAAAAACGCGCCAATAATTTTCAAATGGTTGAAGAGCAACTGCAGCATACAATGGTTTCTCACATCATGCAATTTTTAAAATTGGGACTCAGTTTGCAATAAATCAACATCAATGGATTTCTCATTCAACTTCAAACAAAAAACCATCCTCTTCCAAAGAAAAACGCCGAAATTTCAACCAAAATCATTGAATCCGTAAGTTGGACAAAATAAATTACATGAATGTATCTCAGGTTGACATTTGATGACGGAGTACATAAATACTAGCTAAAAAGGAAGCTCAAAATGTTATCTCGCACTTTCCATTAAAGAATGTGGTATCGAAGAAACAAATGCTCTGGATTCTCAAATTGTCATTCGTTCTGGTCAATTTTTTTTGTCCCTAACTCCAAGGTATTCATTGAATTACGAGCGTGTCGCCAGAATTTCATTTTAATTCGTTTAAACGTCGCATTTTGACATGGAACCACGGCCATACGTGTAAGATCAAGTTGCATTTGATCCATTCAGAGTAGCTCAACTATTTTCTGATTCGCGGAGCTTTTTCTACTGTCGCAGTTTTCATCAATCTCCACAGCCAAGTCACGCACTATTTAGAACTTAAATTGTGTTCAATTTGACAGAAAAGCTCGGAAAGTACGGTTTCGACAGCTTTCAACTTGCGAAACAGACTTACAAATCCTCGTCAATCGTTTGCTAGCCTTTTTTCATTTGAATTACAATACATTTTTAATTCGTTTTCCTTTCTGGTGATTCGGCCAAAAAACCGGGGAAGTTTCCGTCTCAAGAGTACGGTTCAGGTTATTACACTAGGCTCTTGGTAAGGTTCATTTGTGTCGGTTTTGTGATTCAGACAACACCTGCCTGCTATTCTAAAAATGCCAAGGCGGACATCGCAGTAGAAAAAAAACTTTCTCCAACAATGGAAAAGGGGGAGAATGCTTCAGAAGAATGCAATATACGTTTCAGGAATCCCATTAAATGCAATGATGCCGACCGATAATTAACAAACCACACCTTCCGAGTGTCGCACCTCCACAGATCAAGTGCCGAATAAAATTGAACGCATTCGAAAGCGTGGAATAAATTCAAAGCGAAAAAAAGGTTAGTTGCATCAATTCCGACAGAGATTCCAACAGGGGGAAAAATCTTCAAATCGATTTAAAAATGAAAAAAGTAATGATTCATACTTGGACAAGTTCTCTTAGGGGTTCCAGAGGAGAAGAATAAAAAATTGTCGGAATGTTAGATGTGGAACTCCGTATAGGTTAATGCAGGTTAATATGAAGAACGTGCAAAAATGTTTCAGACAAAACTCCACTCGGTCAGGGGGACTTCAAATAGAAGACGCAAGCATAGAAGAGACCGAAGAGGGCATGATAGATATACAACGACGGATTAGTACCTTTTCACATCGTCGCCCGGCGAAGCGCAAATCCCAACAGCTTGCTCATCATCCTCATGCCCCTGAACAAAACGAAGCATACCATCACCACCGAAAAAAGAAAGCCACCATACGATTGCACAAGTACAATACATTCACCACACAATTATCCCTTCCCATTCACGGTCCCCGGACACGATATTTCCACTCACCTCAATCGCCTTTTCCTATTCACGGTAACGAAGCAAAAGCCAAGGAAAAAACCGAACACAGGTCATTTCCTTCCCCGTTGATTAAAAAGTTCCTCAATTTTTCGCTACGCTGAGTTGCACCACAAAAAAATAAGGGTCGGTCCAAAAGTTTTGGCACTAATTTCAGAGGCCTTTCGGGATTTAGAAAAAAATTTCTCATTAAGATCGCTGAAGCACCCATCACTTAAATAATGCACTGATGTGCTCATAGATAAACCTCATCGGTTTATTTATTGTAACGTTCTCCACTTCAGCCCGGGTCGACAAAACCTGTGCACGGAACGAGTTCCGCATTGAAAAATTTCAAGTAAAACAATTCCTAACGACTCAAAGCACAAAGGGATATTGGGGGAAAAACGTTTGAACCAATCCTTGTAATCGGAGAAAATTATCGATAAAAACGTAACTCGTGAAACTGCCACCCGCGAAACGTATCAAGTGCAAGCGGCACAATTCAACCTAGGAAATAACATTGTTCCCACGAACCGAAAGGCTACAGAATCCACCACACATGCAGTGAAAAGAACGAAGCCGGACGCGAAAAGCTAAGTTCTTCGGCAAGAGAAAGAATAATTTGTCAGTACTTACTTATCGTCACCACCACGTTTTATCCCTCACAACTGACGCATGATTTTTATAATAATGATGAAACGCAGATGAAATTTTTTTTTCCAGGACTACACAAAACTGCGCTAAAAATTTGAGTCATTGCACGGAATTTCGGAACCAACCTTGTTGTGTCGATGTTCACGGCTTCTATGACTTTCCTTGCGCCCACCACTCCGCCTGGAAAATTTTATTTCTTGAAAGATCAATGTAAAAAAAGGATCAGGAGAACTTACAAGAAAAACTAAAAAAAAGCCAATACGCGTGCAACAAAAAATTAAAAAAAGGCTATTAATTTAGTGAAGAATCTGTGAAATCGTTTCGGTGCAAAAATATCTCGAATGTATAAAATAATCAAGAGATATTTGAAGCTCGGATGAAGTTTCAGAAATTTAGAACCCTGTGGAGTACGCGTACATGCTTCAGCCTATCGAAATAAATTCGAACTGTGTACGGCTAAACTCCAAAGCCAATTTATGATCACCACATTCATTCGAAATAGAAAACAATCGACACCAATTACATGTGAACAGATTCACTGAAAAACCTGAAACCTCTGAAAGGCAATCCAATGCCCTTTTCTAATCTAAAAAAAAAAAAAAACGGGATTTACAATTTGAACACGAGCGATAAGCTGAAAAGGTTAACGTCAAGAGTCGGCTTACTTCGTGAATACCGTAGTTTATCTTTGTCAAGCATACTGCCCCTTTGTACAGTCAACCCCAACTTTCCCTTCAACAGAAGCGTCACGTTTGTCTCTGATTTCGAACCAAACATTTTTTGTGATTCAGAATTTTAAAAACTTTGCTTCCGTACTACGATAATCGTTGTCAGAATCAAGAGTTCACAAACAGAGGCTGTTACACCTGTTCGCAATGCTGCTGTATTAATTACACCAGAATTTATTCATTAGTTTTCAAATCGAGGAGATATTTCCCACCTATTTCATTATCGGAGCCCCATGGACAGGTTCAACTAGTCTTCCGGGTGTTAGCCTGATTATGGCATAGCAGTCATCGTACATTATTTTTTAACCGCACTTCTAGAAGTTTAATTCCATTAAGATTTCCTTTTTTTTATTTTCCGCCCCTAGGATACTGGTGCACATCTTTACCCATGCGTCAACAATTTAAAGTATGCTTCACAGGATGAAATATTACTTCCACAAGACTGGATGCCAACTAAACATTCCATCGACGAAGTAAACCGACCCTCGTACGACACATGAACTTTGAATACGATATCGCTGAAGTATCGCATAAAAAACTTCCAAAGTTGATTACGAATGCGTTTCCTTATCATCGAAAGGCTTCTTCGAAAAAAAAAAAAACGACGACTGAGAGAAAAGAAGCGCTATCTTTCGCAAGCCTTAAAATAACATACGACGGATTCGGAGATCAGCCTGCAGTTAGATTTTCAAACAGACGACGAACAAGAAACTGAAAACGAAACCAAATCCGACCGAAAACCTAAGAAACGCAAACTAAGCACGCCTACCGATCCGATTTCTTGTGTCGCTCGCCAGATCGACTCCTTCGATGACTCTTCTTCGACCTGCGCGATTCTCTGTGCTTCGAGCGCGGCTCTGAGTCGTCACTACTCTCACTGCAATTTCGACATTAGAAATTATATTAAACGAAGAATTCCGAATAAGATGAAATACAAACCTGGATCTGCGAGACTTCTTTCGCTTCCTCGAATTTCTCTCCTCGCCAGATTCCCTGCAAATAGAAATGATTATTCTTCTTCATTACGCATTCAAGACGTCGAAAATAACTTAAGTCATTCATCGCAAAACTGTAGTTTAATTACGCGCAAAAAACGAGATGAAACTGATATCCTGAACATTCAGTGCATAAACAAGACTCGCCGCCACTTGTATGAGAATGATATATCCTCATGGAAGCGAATATTCTTGCAATGAAATGCATATTCCATGAATAGTTCAACTTTGGTTCAACAAGCATCAGGATCAATATACTATATTTTATTTTCATAGTTGAGGTTATTATCAGAGGTCACGTTTGATTTTGATAAAAGCCCTTATTATTTAATTTGCCTCTTCTACACCAGATATTCTTTTCTCAAATTTTTTTTTCGAGATCAACATTCGAAGACAGAACAGCCTTCTCCTCCGGTGAGGTTCCCATCGAAAAATAGGAAAACTTGAAATACGAATTCTCTCATTCAAATTCGATTCGTAAATAACACCAGTGTATAATGGGAAGCGTTCAACTGTTCCAATTTCCAATGATTTTCTAAATTTTTCAAGGAATCCGGGCATTTTCATAAAATAAATTATTCAATTAAATACGACATAAGAGAAGTTATAAAAGCCACAGAAAAGCGTAGGTAAAACAAAACGTGGAGATACACTCACAAGAGGTTTGAATGGCACATCGAAGTACAGTACCATCAATTCGGAAAACCGTCTTGATTCAATTTGGATTAATTTTCAGGTTGAAAAAAGTGGTACTCACTCATCGCCTCGTTTGCTCTTCTTCTTCTTCTTCCGCTTCTTATCCTTCTTCTTGGACTTGTGCCTCGGTTCTACTTCTTCTTCAGACGGCAACTCCAGCTTGACTGGTTCCATTTCTTCCTCTCTTGGAGGAGTTCGGATCAAAGCGTACGCGGACGACGGGCGGTTGACTGCCTGAACTGCACGATCTTCTTCGGGACGCTCCACTCCGAACACATCTCTCAGTTTCGAGTTCCTTGTTATTTGAAGAGCCGCTGCCTGATGGTTCCCGGAGCTAAAATTTGAAATTTAAATATCCCTTAATTATCTTCCAAAAAGTGCATTGGCTTCATGACCCAATACAATGGACGGCGCATGGCTGCTTAAGTGCATATCGTCTACTCCTCTACTGCAACGGGTCATAAAAAAAGCTTCTTTTGATTCTACCTCTCGATTCCGCAGGGGGGAAGGGTTCTCCTCACATGAAAACCCGTGAAAAACTTCTTCCATGATAGAAACAGAAATTTTTACAAGTTTCGGAAAAATTGGTTCGTTTGTGAAGATGAGAAGGCCTGCTGTGCCTTGATCACAAGAAATTTAATAAAGGTGCATTATTATAGCACAGGACCAATACGAATAAAAGACACGGAAGAAAATATAGAAGATATGAAGATGACTTGGATGATATATCCTGTACAGTATTACTTGGTTTTCAAACATGAAAGCAAAAAAATTACACGAGTTCATGCTTGAAAGGTTCCATTCCCTCGTAGCATGGAGCAGTAAAATTGAAGAATCAGTTACAATAAAAGAATTTCGCAAATAATCAGCTGTTATTTCTCTTAACTTGGATGAATGTCTTCGTCAGCAGAAATGTTATATATATATTTTCAGAAAGAAAAAAAAACCGAACTTCAACAGATGCTAAAGCGGAGGTCATTCTCTGAATTTGTAAACAGCATATCATGGACTTCCTCTGGTAATCTTTCGAAGTTCCGAGTCGAAAATCAGTTGAACGAATGACCTTGTGGGCAGAAGTACAAGAATAATTGAAAGATAAAAGCTATCATTTTATGAGAGTAACAGACGAGCTTATTATCAAACATCAAAACTCAATAAGAAATACTGTTCGTGAAATGAGAAAATTTTTCTGGCGTAAATTCTCTAAATTTTTTTGTTGTGGTAGGAAAGTAAGATATTCAATAGAGAAACAAAAGACCAATATAAGAAAAAATGACCTCGATTCCCCATATTTTGCAATAAAGCGAGAAATTCCATCTGGAAGCCCAGAAACAGCGACCAACATCGCGTCTCTCAGCATTTCCAAACACATCTGCTGTTGCCTGGCATTAGACTGCTTTCGTTGGGCCCTGGTTCGGCGACGGTTTTTCCGCCGCCACGGAAATGTTACCGACGAAGGCAACGCCGGAACGTAGGTTTCTTGCGTGAATGTACTTCGGTAACGTGACGAAAACATTTTTTTGTTTTGTTTCGGAAGACTTCGGATTGATTGACGGACGTGATATCGTTGCAACGAACACTCGGTTATCACTTGATACAAAAATCTTTCACTCGAATAATTTACGACGCACAACTAAACACACTTTCTCAGCTCAGGACAATGGAGCGCTTGGAAGACTTGGTTTCGTTTTTCTTTAGGGTCCATTACCGTAACTTTAATTGTACAACAGCAGACTCGACTACGGTTTGTGATACTGGAAGACAAAAGAGTCGCTGATGTCCCGTCGGCATTTTTGTGGCTTCACAGACGGGGCTGGGCAGTGGCTGGGAAGACCCGACTGAGTCGCTTCTCCAGAGGAAGATGAAATACCAGGGGCTGGGGAACCCTCGGGAGAGGGGGGCCAGAGGGGTCCGAGACTAGATCTCACGCGTGAAATGGGATTCCAAGTCAACCCACGGGGTTGCCGACTACGGCGAAGAATACCACCCCCCTACGTAATTCATTTAGCACAATTTTCCCGGGTTCGAAGAAGAAAACATGGAGGTTTGCCTTCGATTCGCACGCATAATTCTAGTTCATGTGACAACGAACGATTGATGAACTTTATTCTTTGGCGGAGGATCAGTTAGAATAAGAAAATAAAACGGAATAAGCGAAAAATTAAATTGGAAGAAATCCGACAGGTGTTTTTTCAACAGTTTTTTTTAGTAAGATGGTATATACAGAACAGTTTATTTTACTTACGGATCAGAGCTTTTTTACAGCACGATGCTTTTCATTTTAATGCATGGTGGTCCAGGATATATTTTTAATTTAAGTCGGTAAAGTCCTTGATGGATAGAAGACATTCTGGGGATGCCGGGAAGCAAGTGGTACTGATTCTTAGATTCAAACTACAAGGTGAATTTTTTAATCCAATTAAATACGGCATTCATCGTCAAAAAGATCGGTACCTTACAGAAAAAGCGTTTAATTTTTTCTTTGAAATCTATCACTACAGAAGAAAGTTGACTTCAGGTACATTATCATAAGCTGACAATGTATAACTAGAATAAATTTAAAAATAGATACAGTACATCATTCCAGAATTAAGTCCTACAAATGCCGAGCTTCATTCGTATGGAAATAATCAACGTTTCAAAAGTCATTATGCAGTGAGAAACATTACCTGCTTTTGATATTCTAATGGCAATTGCACATTTCCATGGACTAATGTTCTTGAAATCATCGAACATGTAATTATACTACACAGTCTCTGCCAGAATATTTTTAGCTATTAATTGCTAAAAAATCCTCAACATTTTTTACAATTTTCGTTATAATTTGCCGCAAACCTTTTCTACAGCAAAGTGGCTTTTTGGACACGCGGCCAAATTTTTTTTCATTTGATCGGGACAAACATTTCAGTAGAAAAATCTCTTCTGTTACGTGGGAAAAAAGTGTAGTAGAGGTCCTTGCAAATTATTGTAAATCATTTTCATTACCGGCAAATGCGACAGTAGCTGAAGTTTTAATAAAAACTTATCAAAAAATTAATAAAATAAAAGCCAAGCTTCACAGATCATGACTGAGATGGGGCAACACTGGGAAACCACTCTATCCCTCGTGGACGTAGGGGGGACGAAAATCAATATTCCCTGGTGCCTCACCGTGGCAACACGCAAATGCAGGGGAACCCCGCTTCGCGCAGCTGGGGGATCGATGAGGAGAGGATCAAGGCACTCACGTAGGGTGTATGTTGGATACACGTTCCTCCAACTTGAACTCCTCTATGAGCTTTTGACGATACTCGTTCACCAATTTATCGATCAAATCCAAGTCCGACCTGAAATGTTGAAAAAAAAAACTTCTATCGCAATCCACGCTATCAAGATGATCTAAGGAATAATTCGACGAGCTCTTGCAACGGGAATCAAAGTTCCAACCCGCTCGACTCCAAAAAGCTGAAGTGGGACATTTTTCAAACTCACTCAGTGGTTTCCAGTTCATCTTGAAATTCTGTAACTTTAACTTCAAGCTGTCGCTTCCGTTCGTGGTCAATAAGCTCAACATTCGGCGCCCGATTCGCCTTTTTCTCCATCTGCTGCAGCTGATCTTCCGTCTTGTAGTCAGTTCGCTCGATACGTCGGATTGAGGCGCTATTCCGCTGAACATAACCGTTCGTTCCGGACCCTCTGGGGGTCGCTAAGCCGATACCGTTATGCATGGCACTAAAATTAGCAATTCATCAAAAGAAATATCTGCCCTGATGCAGATCACCTGCAAAATGAACATACATTAGAAATCCAGGATAAGACGTAACACTTTCAAGAGTTCAAATATAGAAGGATCGTCTGCCTGTTCATCAAGGCTTCCGCACGAAAGAAATGATCCGGAATTCAAATACTGTACCACGAGTTGTAAAATTCGGAGGTTTTATCATGAAAATCGTCAAGTTTCACAACAGACCGTAGTGAAGATGAGAAAATCCTCCCATCAGTTTTCCAGAGATCATCCACACGGAACACCGATCAAAGTATCTTGATTCGCGATTCTAGCAATAAACGCTTTCGGACAGAAGATTTCATGCCGTCAGTTGAGTATGTTTGCTCTTCTTCTGAGATAGAAACTTCTAATCGAGTGATATTCTCGACTCAAGATTCACTTCAGTTCCACCAAAAACGACGAAATAACACATTGTTAGCATTACGATCGTCATTCAGTCGAAAACGTCATTCGAACGGCTAATCTGAGAAATAGGTTGCCTAAGTCGGCAAATTCGTTTGCTTCTGAACGATTTATGATAGACCGCGAGCTGGAAGGGTGGACATTCTAGTGAAACTCTTCATAAAATGTCTCAACTTTGTCCCCGTGATCACGTACAACACTCGCTTATTCCGAAGAAGTATGCCACAAACCACAGCAACAACGGACTAGATTCACCTAAGCAGTTCTCAACTGCAGCTCCCAAGATATGTCTTGCTTTTCTTGACAGTCTCGGTATCATTCACTTCGAACTCAGGTAAGCTTCACCTCCGCAGCTGGAGGACGTCTGACTAGAACTGCGGCGGATGGCGTGAATAGGTGACCCAGTGAGATTTTGATAGGCGCCGCCATGACGTATACTCAAGCGACATCTTCAAGTAGAGATAAGAACCTATATCTGCGCATAGGGGGTTTGTATGACATCTATGAAATTGAAAATTAGCAAATTTGCGTCATAAGGAACGACAATACAGTACAAGCTTTCCAGCATACGAAATGCTGCATTCAATGCCACCAAAAACTCCATACAGGATACAGACTCAATCCTGAAAGGTCTTGTTCTACCGAAGTTTCCAGATTCAGTACAATGAATTACTGTTCTTTTTTTTTTTTAGCTATTCTACATTTCATTAGGCCAGCCCATATATATACTGTATATTTGTTCAGCTAGACAATTGTTTTACTGCTACTGAAATTTGTATGCATCTTCTTCTGCTTTGATAAAAGTTTCGTTCTGCTGGAAAACTTCAGTACTTTGCTTGAGTACTTTACAGTACAGTATATGTTTGAGTAAACTCAGAATTGAAGGCATTAAACTCCCATTTCTGAAGCATTATTGGATGGATGAAATTTGAAAAGCTGACACCGGTTCAAAAGGAAAACTATACAGCAATTATTTTAGCATTACAGTACAATCGATCGACTCTATTTACACTTGATTTCAAAAGTTTTTCCACAATTATATCATTGGACTTATTTAATTGACATCCTACATTCCCGCGCAGGAGAAAAAGCTGAAATTGTGCTTTCTTTGAATTTTGCTTGTCTGCATAATTTCTAACTTGTCATCCGGAATCCAAGAAATCTGTGACAAAATAAAAGATTTTCATTCATAAATTATTTTCTTTCAATATAAAACATATAGCTTTTCTTTCAATGTTATACAACTTATATTGCATGGACAAATTCTTTGAATGTTTCCAATAAATTCCTCATTTCGAGGCAACTGTATACAACAAATACTGCTTTCCTTCTTAAATTCAGCTACTTCTTTTTTTTTAAAGAAGAATTTTTATTTTGAGGAGAATCCTTCAATATGTACAATACAGTACTTCATTACTCCACATTCCATCTGCAATGGACCAGTAATATTTCATACTGTACATTTTTTCCAATTGAGTCAAATCCATCTATGTTCAGCTAGTCAACCCTCCATTTATTCCCCCAATTTATTTCCGCCTGCATAGCATGATGCATATGCAAGTGGACTTCGTTTGATTGGTGAATTCAGTGGACAGAAGTTTTGAATAATTTGTGTCAGTTGGTTAACATTTTTATTGGGATGTTCTCCACAAGCTGGGCTAAAAGGCTGATCAATAAGTAAATACTTAGTCAATATCCTGCTTCAGAATGAGAACACCAGATGAAAATAAATATCCTTCTAAGATCATGACATTCCTTTGATGGGTCTTGTCCCAGAGCCAAGGCTCAGCAAGTCAGAAGACCAAGCTCTATAATCTACAGTATATTCATGCATCATATCTTGGTAATCAATGTGTTGCATGTACAGCACTTCGTACGCGCGTTACTTACATACTTCTACGTTGCGGTGATTTGTGATAGATGTCGTTTGTAATCAGAAATCCGCGAAGATCTGCTAAACATATTCAATTTAATAATTATTGAAGTATTCCAGCGTAGAGGGGCTCGAAGACGTCGGGAAAATGCGCCAAAACCACACAGAAACTATGATTAAATGTATACAGTAAAATTTTGTGGGGACTTCAGAAGCGTGTTACAAAAAATTAATTTGTTATAATGAGATTTTAAAAATTATTGACTGATACAAAGATTTTCTTCAAATTAGACCTGCAAATATTCAATATCTTCCTTTTGGGGCCTTTTCAAATGTTTTTCAGTGTTTAAAAACTCTGATTTTCGCAGAGATTTAATAATTGATAAAAAACATTTCCTCTGAATAACAGGTGAACACTGGCACTTTTTCTTGACACTTATATTTTTCTCAGCAATTCATGCAAAGATTTTTAGGGGTGGGTGTTCCAAAATTGCTTAAAATTATTAAATCACTAGAAAATTTCTCAAGCATGCAAACCCCTTTGAAACATGAGTTTTGCTGGGTTTATTTTTTTCATCTAACTGCCCTCTACCCCTATCATCATTCCTAAACTAGGAAACATTTTTGAAAGAGAGAATGTTCAGATGAGTCTTGAAGAGTTTGTGTCCTTGATTCCACCTTATGTTCCAAGTCACAGCCACATTTTGAATGATGGGAAGCATGAGACTTTGCCTGCCTTATTCATTGGGGATTTTTCATTCAAAAATCATAACATGTTCCTCAAAAAAATTTGTTGTACTGGAATTGGCAAGTTTGTTGTAATGAGATTTTACGGCATTTACCGTGTAAGATTTCTACCAGGACTTGGCAAAAAGTTTGTTGTACTGAAACATTTGTTGTAACAGTATTTGTTTTAATGAGATTTTACTGTAGATTATGGATTATATAGGTGTTCCATTTCCATCAGAATGTTTTCAAATATCTCATTCCAAGTTTATATGATGCTTACAATTTTGTTAATACCAACTCAGAAATAAAAAAGCAATACCGGTAGCACGGAGACTAATGTCCATTGTGCGGCGGTACTTACAACTTGTATCAGATGCCTAAAAATATTCATTTTTTAATGAAAATTATTACTCATTAAGTTTCTTTAATCGGTAGTACTGCTGCATAAGCAATAGTTATCTGGTGGTGCTCCACTTCACGCGTGATCGCCGCTACGATTTATGCTAACGGCCAATTTCTGGAGGATTGCAATATTAAGCAATCCTTAATTGGACATTCAATAATCGCGAAGAACGTGTGCCGATTATCATGGTAATTTTTTCTCCCGAACTTCGACTTCGGATACACATTTTCTAATCACATCTGAAGAAGGAACGGCTCGCGAACTGCGTGTTCCGTCAGGCGGCTTAATTACCATCATATCTTTTGTTGCTTTGATGAACTATTTCTTATTTTTGCTAATCTGCATGCTCACATCAGGTCAATTAATTTACAGGACATACAAAGAAATAATAGATACATTTCAATATTTAATGTCTCCTAATGATTTGAACTGTTTTACAAGCTATTAAGTAAAAAGGCTGAACATCAATTCAAATGTACTTTATACGCAGTATTGTGCAGGTACTTCGTTTTGTACGATTTTAACCTTTTATGAAGCTGTAAATATGTTTCATCAACGAAATAAATATTAGCGAGAATTTAAAACAAAATAACATTTTTGTTTGATTCATGTTCGAAAATGTATATTAGGGTGAGTCGGAAAAACGTGAAAATGGTGGCATCAATGGTGTAATTTTAGTGGAATTCGGGAAATTTCCTCAAACAAACCTGAACGAAGAAGACTCGTAAATGTCAGAGAGGTCAAACAACGCGTGGCCCGTCAAGCAGTAAATGGAACCAACGCCCGTTTTTTATATCAAAATAATTGCTCGATATCCCGTGTTCCTCGTAATTTCTCGCATTCCGACAAAAAGAATAATAATTGAGGGGAAAAAACGTGATACACACAAGAAGCAATTATTGCTCGCAATTGTGTATTTCGATTTACTGTATTTGAAATTTCATGCAGTATACTCAATTAACCCTCGGGATACAAAACCTTGATGACACCTCAAAACATTCTCCTTCAGCATATTGAACTCTCTAATTTTCTGTGAGTCGATTTTTTCTTTATATTTGCCTCCATTCAAATAGTGAAATGCCAATGACAACGATTCCGGGTGATAATTTATCTAATTTAAGCGAGGCTTCAAACGCCTACACCAGTTATCTATCATGCTGTAATAGTGAAAAAAATTTCGATTATACTGTACTAATCTAAAATATATCACATATGTTGAAAATTATAGCACGTTAAAATACGTTCAAAATTATATCGCGATCATAGACAATTAAAATTCTGAAAGCGTTGTACAGTAATTAACTTCTGTTAATCATCAAATGATCGCCGTAGGTGATTAAGGATTTCTTGACGAAAATTCAAAAACCTTTCACGGAACACAGCAAGAATCTTAGAATAAACCAAGAATTTATTTTTACAAGTTTTTCTTGAAATATGTAATCGTTTCTCTCTCTTCTCTTGAGATAAATACCTTAATTTTTCTGATAGTATTTTGACAGATTCCAAGTCCTAATCATGGTGATAATTAATTTGTACGAATTTCCGAATACTGTATAACCCTATCGATGGTGTGAGAGAAATGAGTTGGCTCGAATTGAAATTGAGCAGGCCGATTTGTTTCGTCTGACAGTTTTGAAATCAAGGGAATTTAATTCGGGTTCAGTCGAAGTTCGGAAAATTACAGTTCAACTGGAAACAATAATGTTCCCAGTGCTGAGCAGATGAATTCATTCTCGAATTTCCCTCGGAATTTTTCGGTAAAGGAGGCAAAAATTTCGTTCCCGTCTGCACCCTTGGCGTGAAGTTCGGCGCTGAAGTGCAGAGCCGTGAAGGGCACATTATTCCGGTGGTCTCTCGTTTTCATTAAGCGCCAGGATTACAATCGAGAACTGTTGGTTTATTGCATTTTATTTATTCGTTCCATTTCATTTTTACAGAAAGAAAGAAGAGGGCTTCGACATTTGCGGAGGTGTGAACGACTGACTCGCTTGTCATGGTAGAGTTGGTGTGAGAAAAAAGGCCTGCTTGATGCCGGAGGAAATCTTCGCTCCATCATGGGAGCGTCCACAAAAATTATTGTTTTTTATTTTAGAGGGGGATTCGGTTTGTTTATTTTCTTAAACCTTGCGGTGATGAGTGAGTTCAGGAATGTGTGGCTTCTTATCCTCTTGCCTTATTTTGGTTTGCCAACACATCAATTTCAATCTTTCTGGGATTATGCCACTACAGCGCATTGTGTTCTTGTATTTGTTGGTCAGCATTCGCGGTTTCCTACAGGGAAAAATACAGGACCCCCGTAATGGGATTCAGTAAATATCTACAGCAGTTGATGCATTAAATGTACATTGAATGGTAAATTCATTCATTTCTTAACAGTATAACTGGTCAAAATACAGTGAAAAGATTTCTCGAATGTGCGAAACAATTTTTGTCGAGAACTCATGAAATTTTTAAAAATTGTATAAAATTGAGGGAAATCATTCTGGCATCAAAAAATTCATTCAACACCAAAACTCTTTTTGGGACGGTATTGATGTGGGGACACATACTTGTACTTCAATAACTAAGTTATGAGAAGCTAATTGAAAATTTGTTCCTGTCCAGTTTTTAAGGGTTGATCATTTTTCATACTGCAGATGATTCAAATCAGTGTTCATTATTTACAGGAAAAATCAGTGGCAACGATTATACGTCCATTGTGGAGATGATTCTATTGCGTGAGACGTAAATTATTCAGGCAATCGCCACTGATGTAATTGAATCGAAATTTTCTAACCGAATCTCAATTGACATGAAATAAAAAACAATGTAGGTCTCCATCCCCAAGTTCAGTGCATACAGTTCATGGTTTACCGCAGTCTGGACCAATAATTTGCCATGCTCCCTTCCAAACGCAAATTGAACTGGCCATTTGTTGTGTCCGGTTGCTCATATAATGAATATGAGACGTATTCGAAGATAGGACGTTGGAGAAATAAATCTGTATGACCAGCGAAATCGTTTTCTTTTGGGGATGGAATTGTGAGTTAGAAAAGGAACCATGTCCCTTGCTTTCAGCCAAGTTTTCACCCGCGCGTGGGCGAAATATTGTGGCGCGGAAGCATGAAGCAATGGAACTTGAGACAAACGGAATTCGTGGAGCCTCAATGAGGAGGAACTAAGGATAGGTGGCCACGATATTTTCGGTGTAGCAGGACGATTTCTGGGATTTCTCGCAGTACCACAAGCACTTTTTCCATGCAAAATACTATCCAAGCAGAAAATTGGGTGCAAGTGATGGTACAAATATAACATTTTCTTGAAGCAAAATTTATCAAATTAGTGCTGGGAGCCATACAAGGGATTTTTGTATGTGCAAATAATGAACATAGAATTCTGCTCATTGGCACAAATGAAGTTAAAATCCTCTATGACTCTATTTTATTACTGTATATTCATTTAGTGAATTTTTATGTTTAACATTATTACAGTTGAACCTCCCTTAGTCCTTTTTTTTGAAGTCACAATCTGAATTTCATAAGAAAAAATGAATTAAAAACCTCCCTAACTCAAAATGTTTTCCTCTCAAACCAAAAAGTCAAAATGTCTAGCTGAGGCCTTTTAGTCACAGTTGAACCTTGATGAGTCAAACTTCCTTAAGTCAAATACCTCCCTAAGTCCAACTTTTAAAAAATCCTGGTCTGAATTCTTCTAGAAGCAATGCATTAAAAACCTGTAAAAGGCTTTTCTTCTTAAACCTCCCTATGTGAAATTATCTGAGGCCTTTTGGCTAATATTTTCTTGACACAGGAAAAACAAAGAATAATGAAAAAATCTAATGATGTGCTTCAAAAGGAAGTTAAAGACTAACTGGATGAATGAACCCTTACATCCAAGTTCAGTAGAATATATTGTCAACTCATTTAAGAAGCACTTTAAGGCCCACAATATTACCAATTACAATTTCTGACAATTCTTCCACCTTTTCCACAACAAAAATGATTGTTTCCCTCACTTGAAACCCCCAGTGAGCAAGATATTGCTTGTTTCTGGTCCTAAACTCATCCAAACCTACTCATTCAAGAATCTTGCCAAAAAGGACATGTTTTGGACAAGCTTGTGGGGAAAAGTCACAAGATAATCCACATTTCCTCCAAACATGTCTGCCAGACACTGGTGCCAGAAAATGGCAGACAAGCTCTCCAAACTGGTCTGAAAATTATCCAAAATTGGCATACAAGTTTGGAGAACTTGTCCACCAGACACTGGTGTCAGAAACTGGCAGACAAGTTCTTCAAACTGGCAGACAAGTTCTCCAAACTGGCAGGCAAGTTCTCCAAACTTGTCTGCCAGATCACCCATTTTTTGGGACAAGTAAAAAAAAAGTCCATGGAAATCATTTGGATGAGTATGGGACATTTTTGGAGAATTTCTGGCTCACTGGGCCTCCCTAAATGGAAATCCCTCCAAGTTAAAACCTCCCTGAGTCAAATTATTTTCTTGGTCCCTTGCAATTTAACTTACAGAGGTCCCTTGGAATTCAACTTGGAATTTAACTTTGCTTGAGTGGAACTGTTTAACCTTTTGTTGTATGACTGTGTGCTGGACAGGATTCCTGAGAGTCTTTGTAGCAACTGATTGCCACATCTGTGTCCACCTCCTCCTGTTCTTTTGCACTGAGAATAAATTAAGGTTTTGGGACTCCCTTCTGAAGGATCTGGATGCCCAATGGCTGAATGCTACATTTGTTGTCAATTATTACCAGACCAGCAGCAACATCATTAACTCTTATACACTCATAAGTAAATGTATGTGAGTAAGTGCTATATTTATATACTGTAAGTAATGTGCTGCCCTGTTATTAATAAATTTGGCTTTTGATCATAATTTGCTTGGGCTTTGTAGGCGGAGCTAGTCCAGGCAAGTACAGTATCTGAAGGTGTATACAAATTGTGTCCTTTATGCAGGTTCAAATAATGCAGTACAGTATTTAAGCGTAATTACTAGTCACTCAATCTTCACTTGGGCATGAATACTCATCACAGTATGATCAAGTAATAATTATGCTCATGTTGTTTATAGCTTTTGCCAGAGGGTCCTGAGGTGTTGGTACACTCCTGGCGCGAAAACGTGTATGTACCCGAGCGTGGCGCCCGCCTCAGGAATTATACCTTGCCGGTCGAAGTCGCGCGAGCGCAACCAGGGACGGCGGGGAACGTTATACACTGAGTGCTTCCCCCTGCTGGTACACAGTATGCAAGTCGGAATCTTCCTGGTGTTGGTAGTTGACTTTTTCAACAATAAATTCATCCTTCATCAAGCTACATTTATTCTTGTAATGATTTTGTTTGATACGTGATCCACTTGAAAGTGTACAAATTAAGTTGGAGGTTATTATGCCCTGCTCCTGCGAAAATGCTCACCCGCGCGCGTGAGATGGTGTGATTGCTCTGTGTGTGGAACTTCCATTTTCTGAGCATTCCTTATTCAAACAATACAGAATATCATCACGAGTTTTAAATACAAACTGATCAGTTTCAGCCGCATTTTTTATAGTTTTCTCAGTTTTTGTCGTTGAAAATAAATTACTGTACTGCACTACTGCATGAAGAGGCTTGCATTCTAGAGTAATTATACAGTAACCCGCCCTTCCAACTTTCAAATCGCTATCCTTGAAATCTATAGAAATTGGACTGATGTGTGCTTTTCAAGTTGAACTTAAGACACTTTCCCTCTTTGAGTGATTAATTGCCGTCTATGAGGTGATGCAAGAACTCCTAGATTTTTGGAAATTCAGCATGTAATTGTCACAGTCACAGTACCCACAGAGCTTCATTCGAAAAGTGATCTGAGCGCCCTGGCGTCGTTATATATAGCTATATGGGATGAGTGGAATGATAATGTCCAATACTTGTTCCTATATACAGTACTTTTTTAAGGGACGTCTTTTTCGAAGGAACAGCTTTCACAGCATACCTTGACTGCCTTCGAAAATGTGCGCATGTAGGAAAAGGCTGAAGGAAATTACTGTACTGTACTTGGATCTTACGCGTGCTTTTCTGTATTAGTATCGAAATAACAAATCAATTCGCTTGAAAAGGATCCCTCAATCTAGGATTCTAGGGTATACCTGAATGAAGCTCATTTGGTTATTGATAAAATGTCGAGGGATTCATCTCATTGAAATCTAATTGGTGAACTCGGGTCGATTGTAGGGTATAGTATTTTAAATTTAAATCAGCACATTCGTCATTTTGAAAATGCAGTTTTGTGTACTGATTTCGTGTGCGTAATAGAATTTAATCCATGGATGTAACACAACTGATATCATCAAACACAATACTGTACAATGTTATGTTATCGTGATCAAAAGTGACGGTTTTCGTTTTTCTTCACGAATCACACGAAACTTCCTGTGATTCGTTCGGAATTCCGCGTCGAAATGAAATGTACATTATTGTCAACTTCACGTTGTTTTGTAGAATTCTAAAATTAGAGATTCACATTCACATATAGTTCTTCTTACGCGATGATTCGGTGACAGCTACTGTGACTCAACTAATAGTGCCTGGTGAACTGTGATGGACAGTTACTAGTGAAGTGCTATCAGAAAAACTCGAGTGCGCTTCCTAACGGAACTCAACGCTTCAATCGAAAAGCGTTCGTCACTGATGTGCTTATATACTGCTCCTTGACAATACCAACGTCGAGCGACTTTCAAACCTTCACGGGTCGTTGAGAAAGAATCAAAAGACGTCTGTGTGAAGTTCTTGAAAATAAGAAGGAATCCATTCGTCGATTGTGTGAGGTGGAGAAAACGTGCCGGTCTTATTTTGGTGGAAGCTACTCCAGCGAAAATCGGTGAGTTCTACGCGCGGGAGTTATACGCAGCTGATACTGTATACTCGAGAAGAATCCTTCCGTTATAACCCTGGCTGACTTCATTAATTAGTCGAGGTTTCCTTATTTAACTGCCGCCTCTGCGTTAAAAATACTGTATTTCTTAGGGGGTTAGAAATAAAAGTTAACAATAATCCCAAGGTTTTTTGTGTCGGTCGTTCTGTGAGAATTCACAGCCACAGGAGTGCACTGCTCCTGTGTACTGTAATGTAATCGCATAATGAGCATGGATTGGTCTAGGATCAGAAATTCACTGAAATTAATTTTTTTTAAAGATTTGAATTTCATACGCACGCGAATTTCAACGCGGTTTTTTTGTGGTTCTGCGTTTAAAAAACGTGCGCGGTTTGAGACTGATGACAACTTCAATTCCATCGCACGCAAAATGTCAGTTCTCTCGGCAATCTCGTCGAATGAATTCGTATCGAAACAACCCAAAAATACCGTATATACATACATATTTCGTAGCTTCGCAATCGTCAGAAGCATCAGCATCCGAATTTAAAAAACAAAATACGGTATACAATTAACAGAAGTTTCTATTAAAGTATTTGGAACCAATTACTGTATATTGTTCCTTGATTTTTGAGTGAAAATTTTTTTACCAACCGTGGAATTCAGTTTTCCTTGCGAAGTTAGTTCCTCTTCGAGAAAAGCTCCAATTCAGCCTCCGCACCCAGTTTGTCATTACAGTATAACGCTTTTTTTTTGGGGAATATTTTAATTTTAAAATTGGCGCACTTCTTATTCCATCCTGGAGTTCTGTTCGCTTAATTAAGCAATTCGCAATGAATTAATCGGGAAAATGTTTATTGGAGGATCATGTATATATTTCGCTAACATAAGCTGTAGTACCGTACATTCTTTCTGGGTCGTCAATCCTTTTGCCGAGGAGAAGAAACAGGTTATGATTGGCTGTGTAATGTCAGTCCCTTTCACATACCGGAATTCATTCGTCGTTTTATGTGCAGAACCTTAATACTGTATAAGATATTAAAGAAAGGATGTGTGATGTTTGATCGTCTGAGGAAAACGGGGCGATGGTTCATCGCATATATGTTGGGTCATTGCGGTGACGAAGTAAATCCGTGTTGACGTGTTATTCAATCATTTAGCAGAACAAATGAAGGTTGATGATTCAACGGTAGAACGATTCGCTCACTTCGCTCAACCAAAACTGAAATAATTCGCCAATTCGTTGCATTTATCCATTGTTAGACTTCTCGTATGACTTGGGTTCAGGAGCTAATTGCAATAAGGTATTATCAGACCTTCGAAAATCTTAAATTCAGAGATGGATTGAGAGAAACTACTTCCCCATAACAGACAGTAAACTAATCGGAGTTTTAAAAAATTGCGAAAAGAAGTCACCCAAGCGAAACCACGGTTGCTGTGAGTTTCCTCGTTTTATTCGTCCTAGAACCAAGACTGAAGGAAATTCTGAATTATGTTTGCGAATAGCCAATGAGGAGGATTGAAGAGTCCGTGTTACGAATTAATCAGACGAGCATAATCACGTTGGAACAAAAATCTCCTTTGCTTGTTTGATACTGAAAATGAGTTGGAACATTCAAATACTGTAATGTACTACGTCACTGGGTTAATTCGCTTTTTCAGTCATGTTTGTGGGGTCGCATCCACGCGGCGTGACCCGAGCGTAGCATCCTCGCTTGGGCACACCGCGCAGCAACGACAGCACAGAGACCCGGAAGCGGATAGGCACCCGGTTTGCCGCATTGCGGTAGACCGGGTCAGTAGCAAGAGATAGAAATCTCCGGCAGCGGAAGCCGACACCGAAGTCCCGAAGACTTTGGGAATCATTCATTGAGAGCTTGTGTGTGCCTTACGGCGGTTGGTCAGCATAATTTGTCCTAGCGCAATTGTCTGTTGTGTACCTCTGTGTACTTATTTGTCCTTCTACGGATTTCTGTGTCTGGATTAAATTGCTGCTTCATAAGGGACTCTTCTAAAGAGGATCCGGCCGTTAAAGGCTGACTGACTGTGTCCATTCAATTCTCCTAATCTTTGTCGCTTAACCGGCCCGACAAAAGTGGTGGCCAGTGGGTTTACCTCTACGAGGTTGAACCCCAGCATTTTTTCGCAAATTTTGGGCACAGTTCCCTTCTTTAGTGAAGTGTGGAATTTACAAGTGTGAACCTGCAGCCTTGCTGCCCTTACGTTTACACCCAGCCCACCTCACCCTCTGGAAAAAGCCTGTAAGTACTCACCTGTCCTTTTCGTCTGAAATTTTTTCTCCGGCACAATGAACAGTGAGGAAGGCGCAGTCCCAGGCACGCCTCCCATCTTGAGCCATACCCGCGGTACGCGCCAGCCTCCGCGAAGGCGGGGACCTCTACCAGCAGGGCCACAGCATCGCCTGTCTCCGAGCCCATCAAGCGACGGTAGCCGCAACAGCGCGCAGTCTAGATCCTTGCATTGAACGCAACCGGCGCCTCTTTCAG